TACTCCCAGCAGTTAAAAACGAAAACAAAGTTGAGACACAGTTCTTCGCATTCTTCTTAGCGAAAGTACAGAAAAGAGAAAAAGCCGTTATAAAAAAACTAACATAAAAAACAAAAGTTAAAATATCGGAATTCAAAGAAACGTAAACATAACAATCTATCAACATCAGCCCTCAGTAATTAAAGTCCTACTATGAACCAAACAATTAACAGGAGTAGGAGCAGTTGCAGTCTTAGGCAACCAATTGCTGGAAAGATACTGACCTCCCTTAACAAAAACAAACACAAATAACATAAAAACAACCAAAAGATCAACAGACTGATAAGAAAATCTACCCAAAAAAACAAAACAAAAGCATTAAAAAAAATACGAAAATCACCGATATGATTAGTAAACAGCCTTCCTCTGAGAGCCGACATTATTATAAAAAACCGAAAATGTGCGAAAATAACGACATAATTTCAAATGCTATTTCAAATACAGTACAGTTGGTCAACCAAAAAGTTGTGTGTTCTTCCAAATATGTTTGAACGTATTTTCCGTTTTAGAGTTATTATAGACTATGTTATTAAAAAGTAACAAAAAAAATTATTTCAAGTATGAAAAGCTCCCAAGATAACTTTAGCAGTGGTGTAGCCTATCAATTGTTATTGAAGCCATAAAATTGACTTCCAACAATTCATTCTAACAGATCAACAATCAAAATTGATAAAATACAAGAAAAAAGTAAAACAACCTACCAGAGGGCACACGTAACCAACATCACGAGGATTATTAACTCTGATTAAAATCTCTGCGAGAATTTGAGGAGGAATCAGTGCGCCTTGAACATATATGTCACTTTTGCCTTCTGGAACAAACAACATTATTTTATCAAAGCTAAAAAACCGTTTAGGAAAGATGGAAAATACGATAAAACTCAGAAATCTCTGTTATTCGTTACAATGAAATTAGAAAAACTTTGGGAGAAAAATCAATAAGGAAAAAGCATGCCTTGACCAGTTTGATCATCAGTTTCACGTTGAACCCAGGTAACCGTCTCCATCACTCTTTGATATAGTTTGTGCACAATCTTTAATAATTATAAATTGGAGAATAAAATGTTTGTAATATAAAAAAGTCTTCCAGAGCAACATCACCTATTCTAAATCCATTCACTGAATGAGAATGAAACCTAAATAAAAATTTATCTCTTTTCCCCGTCTCTTTGCAGGATGACTCATCGACTATAGAATCAGGAATACTGACCTTTTCAGAACGCAAAATAAAACAATCAATAAATTCCAACCTCTGTTCTTTATTGTTGCTAAAACAAAAAAACTCTTTCCTCAAGTTTAACAGAACTATTAAATATTTAATCATCCAGAGTTGAATGCATAATCTGAATTCAACACTGAGTAATTACGTACTTAAAAAGCAAAATTTCAAAAAAAATATTCAAAAGCATGATAGTGAAAATAACTAAACCGGAGAGTGGAACAAAAGCAGAGTCGACCAGTAAGAAATGCTATGCTCAGTCCGTTTCATATAACTTTTGAACACTACCGAATGATGCATTTATCATTTGTTCGAAATGAAATGAAATTTGAATACGCATTTTTCCGAGAAAAAATTTTTAGAAAAAAACCAGAATGAGAAATAATATGCTTGTGAAATGAAATGTCAAACGTTTTAATACACATTTTTTTAAGAAAAATAAGATGAGCAAAACATGTTGGCAAAATTAATGCTTTAAATTGCAACTGAAGGAGAAATAATTAAAATGACTGAAAATATTCCACAGCTTCCGCTACATCGTAACACAAACAAAGAAAAAATACCCAAACATATATACAAATAATTCAAATATTTAGTAAATAACGGAATAAAAATGCTTTGCAGTACAGAATAGTAGTAATTCCAATTTCTCAACTCTAATTAGAAAAAATGAATTTTGTATGAATCATCGCAGTTTTCTACCGCTTTTTTCTCCTTGCTTTCAATTTTTGCAGATGGATGTCACTTGAAAAATTGCATACAAAAATATACATCCCATCAAAAGATAAAAGGAAAAACAAGAAATTATTTCACACAGTTATAATAAGTAATTCTATATATTAATGTTACCTTCGAAAAAAATCCCATCAAGCAGAACTAAATGATATGATGTAGAGCCAGCGAGAAAAGATATTTTATCAGCTAAGCAAGATACAAACCGGATAAAAAATGAACAATGTTTCGAATATCCAGAAATTCCACGTCACAGTATTATAAATTGTGAAATTTGGAATTCACACCGCTAACAAAAAAAGTCAGAAACTTGAATGCGAAATAATCATCCAACTGACTACGAAATAGAATAAGAAAATAGGATAAAGTGCGAGCATCTTTCGTTTCGGCGGTTGTGAACTGGATATAAATATCATAGATGCTAAAAAAAGAAACTCTCTCTAGAATTAGAAGGCAGAAGTTCCTTTTGAACTTTATGAGTTTTGCTTATTTAAAATAATAAACGTTTCTCTAATGAATGTGTTATTTGGAAAAGATAAAAAAGTACCATATATTGCCCAGATGAAGCCAGCCGTGGTGACTAGAAGACGTAAAGCGAAGAGAAATGGCGTCTGCTTGGAGTTTATTTCAATAAATTTGCATACTACAGCTGCTAAACCAGGAGGCAACAAACAGTAACCAAGCACACAGAGTGATTGAAAAAATGATCTGGAAGGAATAATTAGTTTTGATCAACATGTCTCAACAGAAACAATAGCATAATCTATACAGTACTTTGATTAAAAGAAATCATAAAAACATTCCGTGCGTTTAAAACAATATGGGAGTTTGATTATGCCAAACCATTTCAGCGATGCCCCCTAGTCCTCATCCGTTATGCTATAATAATTTTAACTATTCATGAGATCGCAGCGGGCGTTGGAGCATGCTACGATCTCATGAATATTTTAAATTATTGATATAACATAAATGAGCATTAATATTTTTAAAATGTCTAATATTTCATATGAAACCATATATGAAAACAAAGGTTAATTGCTAGAATCCCTTTAGGAAAAGCCATTTAATGTTTCCTTTCCTTTTTAATAATAAACAATTACATGTTACCACCAAGCAGCTTTGTATTCAGAGTGACAACGCATGAGCCAAAGAAAGTCAATATAAAAACTTCTGTGAAATGAGGACCTTTGCCACTTTTGCCTCCTTGTAACATTCTTAAATACAGTAAATCAGATATACTTGACATAAAATTATATTGAATGAGTGACAGCACAAATTTTTCAATTCTTTTTTTTCTTACTCAGAAGGTAACAAACGAGTGAAAAGAAATGTATAAAAGCGTGACAGACATGAAATCTATGTAACATGGCAATAACAGACGACTGCTCCAATATTTTCAGTCCATCTCCTTCTCGGAGGTGAAAGAAATAATCGTACATAGAAAATAAAATACGATGCTACCTAAATCCATTGTCTGAAATAATGTAAGCCAATAACATAGCAGCAAAATAACTTACAGTGAGATAAAAACACATATAAAAAGTGGTCCCCAAAGATCCCAATCGCGCAGTAATTGTTGACTGCTTCTGGGCGCCATAACCTGTCCAAATTTTGCACCAACAGTATGCAAATCCCGTCTCTAAAAATGACAACTCTTTATCTTTATTAGTAGCATCACCAATGATTTAATGAAAATTATTAATAGTCAAGGAGTTAAACAACATTTCAAAATCCAATACATTGTGTATCTTTGATTATAGTACAAAGATTTATTATTCTCATAGTGAACAATAGACAGATCGGTAAAAAAACTATGGAATTCTAATAGATCGGAAATGATTCCTTTATGAAAAATTTTGAAAATATTAACAATCCATTACTAATGATCAAAGAATACCACACAAGGAACTAACAATAGTATTCCAAATTGGTTCATCCAATGTATCAAAATTGCTATTTAAATCAGGTTCAACAGCGAAATGTCGTGACTTTGATGAAGTTGCTCCAGCAATTTCCCCACTCAAATCAATATATTGCTGGTCGCGTCTCTCCTGTTCTTTCGCTGAGATTTCTTTTTCCAGCTAAATGACTTACTACTCATATTATGCAATGTTTGTTGCTGAAGTCGATTAAATCAAAATGTAGATCAGAATGGATGATTTTACGACACCTGAAAATCGTAAAATCATTCATTCTAAAAACCACTAAAATTATCCACTACATTCGGTTATAACTTTATTAAAAGTGAAATGCAAGTGATCTGACCAAGTGTTTCATAAAACTAAGATGTAAAACAAAAACTAACCAATTCAATGTCAATTGCAGCACTTTCGAAATTGTGAGCCATTTATAAATTCGGCTGACCTTTTGCAGCAAGTTCTTGAAAAGAACATAATGAAGTAAATTCAAACTGTTAACATACAGTCAGTCATCACACCTAAAGTATGATCCTCAAACAAAGTGTAACATACGGAGACAAATAATTTGACAAACTTACCAATTAATGGACCAGAATACACACCCTTGCTCAAATCGACTAAAGTACTTTCAAAGGCTGATACTGTAGTTCCACAGTGAATAGTTGATGCCAGTGATAACTACAGATGGCACTGAATCAGAGATACGACATCCCTTTTCTTGATGCCTAAGCGCCTCCTAAAGTCGTAATAAGCATTTGATAAGAGAGAAATGATACCCAGACAACAGTGACATTTAGAAAGGGAACTTAAAAATAACTAAATACCAGTCAAAACTGCAACTATCATCACCACAATATCATATCACTGCAACGACTAAGACTTATGTCCAAGAACTGTCTGCTCCACTTGGAAATTTATTTGCTATCCAATCAATTATTATAGTTACTTGGAATTGTTATTCACTGCCAAACGGAATGAATTTTTAGAAATTTTAAACATTGCTTTATAAGTGGTTGGATTTTCTTATTTGCTAATTTACAAAAAATGAATGGTTTTATGTGGAAACGAAAAATGATGTTACTTTTTTAATATATAAATATCAAATTACTCGTCATAGCAGAAGGTACTTTTCTCGCTAAAACAACTTTAAGTTATTAAAAACGTACAATATACAGTCAGTCATTTATTCAGTTCAACAAAAACAAACAATATAAGCTGTACAACATTAGTAAATTCCAGTTTTTGCATTGAAATCACAAT